AAAAAAAAAAAAAAAGACATTTCCAGGTAATGTCTGAAAGTCCTATTCAAACCTCAAAAAGCATATTGCACATTTTTGTTAAATTATTTTTAGACTGTAGCAAATGGAGATTGTTTGTGAGGTAGAAGGTTTAGTAAGTCTTTACAGGAACTCATAACAGCGCTCTCATTTGTTAGCCTACATTGATAACTCTGTGTAATAATTGTGTATTAAGATATCACTACAAACACTGAACAAAACATGAAGAAACACACTTTATACTAACACAAGGGACAATAGTAGCATAAATCTACAACCACATTGCACTATGCCATGTTGAAACCTAATGAAAGCTCAACCCACAGGGATATATATTTTTTTCCCTCTATTATCTGTAACTTTTCCCTGGCACTCTGTTTCACTGGTTCTGCTAACACTGATGGGACACTCAATGCTCTACATTTCAGAGGAGGATAAAAATGAGAAAGGGGCAACAGCAGATTCGGTGCAGCAGCGGCGTCAGTATCGCAGGCAGAATCGACAGTCGTCTTCAGGTTATAAGCGTTTTTATCCCCGTTCTGTCCTCTCCCATACCCAACCCTCCTTCTTTAACCAAGTCTCTGTCCATGTCATTTTGCACCCATCGTCTCATGGACTTTTGAAGCTGTGTCCTAACCCCAACCTTGGTGTTTTTTCCTCACTCGCATATAGTTAAAGCTACAGTAAAAACAGTTGTTGATGTCCTCTGTCTTGGTTTCAGATACAGGGTCTTCCTCCTCAGAAGACGAAGGGCCCAAGAGGCTGGCAGCAGGGCCAGGTGCCAGAAACGGGGAAGTCAGGAGGAGACGTAGCCGTACTCCATCTCCACGGAGGCGACACAGGGATGTCTCTCCAAGGTCAGACATTTACCACACTACATTTTTATCCGAATGACTTAACCTGGAGAAAAAGCCAACTTGACTATGTTCTGTTTTGCTCATTTGTATTATTTTTTTGTGTTTGTACCCCTTCAGAAAAAGACGTTCTCCATCTCCTGCACGTAGACGTCGCTCCCCTTCTCCCCCACGACGTCGCAGATCTCCCTCTCCTCCTAGACGAAGGTATGGGCATATTCATTTATCTCCTAGAGCTATGATCTTAATATTTTTCATTAACAATTAGAAATGTTTTATTGATAATTGAACTTGGTCCTTTTCAGGTCTCCTTCCCCACTTCCCCGTCGTCGTTCTCCATCCCCCAGACGATATTCTCCCCCTATCCAGCGGCGCTACAGCCCTTCACCTTTGCCACCACAGAAGAGGAGGATGTCTAGCTCTCCCGCAAAACGCTCTTCTCCAACAGCCAAGCGACGCCCCTCCAGGTCCCCCAAGCGCAGAAGCTCTCCTGTTCCAAGGAGACGCACACCTCCATCCTCCTCATCTCCACCCAGACACAGGAGGAGCCCAATGTTGCCTTCTGTCAGGCCAAGCAGGGATACGCGGTCCCCCGGTGCAGCAGCCAACCGCCTCTCCCCGTCCCCTGCAAACCGCAGTCGCACTGTTAGGGGGTCCACAAGTCCTCAAGGACGGTTTGAAACCTCCGGTTCATCTCCATCTAACCAACGGAGACAGCAGTCCCCTTCACACAGTGGCAAACCCATCCGCAGAGTGTCCCGCACCCCAGAGCCACGCAACAACCAGAGGTAATTAAGGCAGCTAGCATTTCCGAATAATGCAGTTTTATCTTTTTGTGCACTATATTGTACGCTACGTGTGTCATTGCCTTTTTGAATGACACCTTTGTCCTCTCCACAGACCATCTCCGAGTCCTCAGCCTATGAGAAGAGCATCCTCCAGATCCAGATCTGTTTCCCCTCAACCAGCAGCTCAGAAACGTCCAGCCCCTGCATCTGCCTCTCCCTCACCATCTCGCTCAGTTAGCGGGTCTCCACCACCAGCCAAAAAGGCCAGCAGTGGTTCCGGCAGTCAATCCCCCAGCAAGGTTTGATATTTGTTATTATTATTATTATTATTATTATATAATTATAGTCAACCATTATGTCTTCAAATAAGCGGGAACCCTGTTGTGGCATGAGGGATTATGCTTGGGACAGCGATGCTTCAGAAGTCATTCCTGTGATGTTGTTTCTGTTATGTTCATCCTCATTAATTAAATAAAATTCTGTTACGTTGCAGAATTCCGATGTTGACGGCAGTGGAAAGAAAAAGAAGAAGAAGAAGGAAAAGAAACACAAGAAAGAGAAGAAACACAAGAAGCACAAGAAGCACAAGAAGGAGAAGAGTGGGGGCACTGCTACTGGAGATGGACAAGAGAACCAGGGCGTGGAGGAGGATGGAGAGTCAAGAAAGGTTAAATCTGTTTCTGTGAATTTTAGCTACTAAGGCCTTCTGCTCCACAGGGAACATATAAGTAGTGGGTATTATTTAGTCGTTTGCCATGCACCAACAATTCTGTATTTCATGCTGTTTTTGTTTTAGGAATCAGACAGTGAAGTAGAGGACAGCTTGGATGACTTGGAGAAGCACCTAAGAGAAAAGGCCCTGCGCTCCATGAGGAAGGCCCAGATGTCTCCCTCACAGATGTCCTGAAAACAAGAGCCTTTCTCACTTTTGAATTTTCCACTCACTCTTGATGTTTGTCATCAACCTGGTTCAGCTTTAGAATGTACAAATTGTTAAATCTTGAGTCTTTTTTTTGTTTTCTTTTCTTTTTACTGGTTTGGTACATTCTGAAGAGTGTGTTTCATTAAGAGCTTGATTTGTCAGTTAGTGTATTATCTAAACTGTAAAGAAGCTTGTGTTGTCCATAATTTTAAATTGTTGAGCAGGGGAACAGTTTAAGGGGTTTCAGAGGTTTAAGTTGGGCAGGTTTCAAATATATTCCACAGCCTACAGTAGATTCGTTTGAGAAATGATTGCATGTGCAGTGATTGTCTCTAATGTGCATGAACCACTGACCTTATGGAGTGTAGAGATAAACCAACATACAGTAACATCCTGTTACTATTGCCTTTTTATTAGTGGAAACGGTTGCACAGCTGTGTGAACTGTTGGAGGCTGTAACAGAATGTCTTGTCCCATATTGTAACTGAATAGAGGTATTTGGCATTGTTTAACCTGCTGTTTTCTGACTTTAAATTGGTCTTGTTTCAAGACTAAAACAATATGATGTGATACAGTTTGCTTTAATTTTTCCAAATGAATTGATATGCAATTTTATGTTGACACCCTTGCACCAAGCTAATTTCTGTGAGACTGCAATATGATTTGTATTTAGTACCCCTGGCTCTTGTCATATTGTCATCCTTTCAGAATTAAAACCTTTTTATAGGATGTGTGCTTTCCCTAATCTTTGTGTCATTTCTGTTTGGGATGGGATGGGAATATAATTTAGATGAATGAACAAAAAGATGTAAAATATTAGGTTTGGGTAAAGGTTAAAATATGTGTTGCCTAATTGAAATGAAACTAGTGACCTGCTCACTTTTGAAAGCAAAAGCTACCAAAACACAACATGCTGTGCATATTAAACAGCTGATTTAAAATATGTTCATTGTAGCTAAATAAAAAAAGACCTCTGTTACACTAATCTTAATCTAAAAAACGGTTAGGGATAGACAGACAGACAGATTATTTATCCCGAGGGGGGAAAAGGGTTAACTAGGCTTATTTGTTCACATTAGTGAATGAATCACAGAATTTTTTAATTGAGCTGCAGTTTTAGTGATAAATTGTATTGTAGAAAATCAGAAGTAAACAGAGGCATGGAACTATATAAATTAAAATGCAAATCAGTGAAGGGAACTGCATAGACTTTCGCTATTTTTTTTTAAAGAAAGAAGTAGTGCTGGTTGGATGGTTTTATTTCTTGAGGAAACAGAATATATGTGTCTTGGACAGCCCAGGATCATTTGAAAGCATTGTTTCCCTGCAGCCGCTGAGCGGCTCTCAGGCATCCTCCTCCTCCTCCTCCTCCCATCAGGGAGACTCCCCTCCTCAAACCCTCCCACATTTTTGTATGTTTGCGCTTCAGATGACATCACGGCTTTAAATATTCCCGTTGCTTCTTCCCACCCATCCTCATCACTGCTCACCCAGCAGAAAGAGCCTCAGCGATGTGTTAGTAGCGTCTGTAGGTTGAAGTCATAAAGCAACGTTGAGACGGTCATTATCTGGCAGACACCGCTGCCTCTTTGTCCGCTTTCTAAAGAGACTTTAGTGCGTTTAGCACCGGGTCCTCCTTGGGGAGAAAAAAAGCGCCTACTGGGCTTCAGTGCGGAGGAAAAAAAACTGGTGGAGAAGAGGACCGAGCTACTTCGGGCGTGGTAGAAAGAGAAAACTCATCTTTTTCAGCAAAACTTCAAATAGTAGCATCCATAATGTCGCTGTCGGTGCCGCAGAACGGAGTAAAGGCGGACAATGAGCCCGTTATCGAGCTGTTTGTGAAGGTAAGACCGCAGCCAGGTCGCCTGGGAGAAGTTTTTCATTTTGACTGACTCACACTTGGCTAAACCCGCAGCAGTACTTTGTGAGGATGAATGCTGTATTCCTGCCTTTGAATCAATCTACTGTTTGCTTATCTCTCTACAAATTAGGCTCTTTCTTTAGCTAGGACCCCTTAAGCTAGCTCCACGTCGGTGTTTCACTCACGAGGGGGTTTGACACGCGATAGAAAAAAGATTTCTTGTCGCATTAAGTTTAGATGTGTACGTTTTGGATCCGCAACCCTCTGTGCCACTGTGGCCATGTGGAGCCCGCGGTGTCACTATCAGGGCGGATGCAGCCCCCCCTCCACCGGGGGGAAAGAGGAGCCTGCCATGCGGAATACTGGCCGCTAATTCGTTAACAAAAGCTCGGTAGTTGTGGTCCATAACAGCCGATTCAACATTTGTTCACTTGCTGCAGTTGCAGGTCCGTGTTTGTAAGTTTGACTGGTACACTATACATTATACAGAGTGATTATATTGATTCTGTTGGAAGTGCATACAGCCATTAATGGACACTGGAATATACAAAATCCAGCCTTTGAGTATTCACTGTGGTGTGTGGGTCACCTTGTCAACAGCCAGTCTGCAATCAGAGATCTCTGAAGGAGTCTGCTGGTGCCATTTGTGATATTTAGTTTTACCTAAAGGACAAGAAAGAGAGTGTTGGTGGTATTGCTGCTTGCTAATGTATAGCTGTTATTGTTAAAGCACAATTCATCCCATATGGATATGGTGATAGATTAGGGAGCTCGATGGGTGGACAGGACTAGAGATAATTCTTCTTCCGATGGCTCTATCCAAACCTTCCTTACTGTAATCAACTGTAATCAGTTGTCTGTGGTGATGGAGGAGCGTTGTGACTGGCTGTTTTTCCTTTCTTCAGGGTGCTGCTTTGCGAGGCGGGAAAATGGCAGAGGAAACAAAAAAGGGGGGAGTGTGGGGCTGGGACAGGGGCACGGGGAGGGAGTGATGGGGTCCTGAATTGACTGGGAAGGAGTGTGGGTAATGGTGCAGTGGGGGTGCCAGTGAGCAGAACAGCAAACACTGAAAGGTAACATTTCCACATTAAAATGTCTAAAAACGACTAGACCTGTGTCACTCTGAGTTGTGTACCTACACTGTCACATACAGCATCGGAGGTGGGGCTTTGTTCATTCCCATGGAAGCTGCTGCGTGGCACTTGAAGCCAAAACAGTTTAATTTTCCCGGTATAAAATTACCAGGATCTTCCTCATTGTGGGGCCCATAGAGCAACTGCAGTAGAGACTTCTGCCAGCTGAGTGCGGCCGGGACCCTCACTTTGGTTTAGCCCTCCGTTGTTTAACAACAAAGACAACAACTCTCGTGAACCCATGCAAACTCACAATGTAATCAAACTGCGTCTTTTGTTCTAGTTTTGATGTGAGAGACCCCTGGCAGCAGAAATGACAAACTTTGCATTTAATAGTAATGCTGATGGTGGATGCTTGCAGGCCCTGACAAAAACATTTGCTAATGCTACACATGAGTCCTTTAATTACAAGTAATTACTTGTGGCAAGTCCAATAAAAGAGAGAATGTTTTTTATTTAATTTAGTCAGATAATGCATTTGTATCTTAAATTGCAGTAGCTGTGAATTATGCTGACTTCAATCAGTCTTCCAGATTCAGTGGAAATTCCAATAACCTCTGTCCTACTTGCACTGGTCCTGTTGACTCCTTAGTGAGGAGTAGTGGGAGTAGTGAGGTTTCGATGAGGCAGAGCAGCAGGCCCCTCAGTATAGAGGCAGAATAGATGGAAAACAAACTGGCCAGCTTCTCTCAACTACAGCTCACGGCCTGCAGGAGAGGTTACATCATCCCCAGGCTGGAAGGTTTACACATGTGGCCAACTCTTCCCTCTCAGCCCCTCCCTCCTTGGACTGTGTAAAGAAGTTTCCTCCATTGTGTGAGACAGACTTGAGTCTCTATCGCCCTTGCATGGCTCTATGTTATGTACCACTGTGTGTCCACATCTATTATTGATGCTGTTGTTGTTACTGTGCTGCGTTAAACACAGTCATGGGAGACAATGGCAGGCACGCAGGTTGCCATAGGCACACTGTGTGGAGCCAGGCCTCTGGGAACAGCTGATAACGAACGGTGGGCTCTTGACACACAGGGGTGTCAGATCTGTTAGGGCACTGCCACATATCAAAGCTGACTAATTCTGCTCCTAGGACACGAGTTGCCCTCGTGCCCGTGTAGACTGAGCCGACTGAACAGCAGAGCTTTTTAAATGTAGCTGACTCTCCCAGATTAGAGATTCTTTGATGATCTTGCAGCTTCTCTACCTGGTGTGTTTATAGCAACAGTTGTCACATTGCCATGGGAACATCTGACATCGTGCTCATCATTGAAGGGCGTGGGCGTGAAGTTTATATTGCTCTCAGTTGCAAATGAGCGTTATATAATGACTTTGTAAAGAGGAGGATCGACCCTTGACCTCATCACTAGTACAGCAGATTAGATATTGTTTTGCACACATGAGTAGTAGTCCGTGCCGGTGTGCTGTAGAGGGTGAATTCCCACCAGCCACCCGTGTCTGTTGCACTTGGCACTTCCGCACATCACATGGTGTAAGTGGTAATATGAAACCCTAAATCTGATGTATTTATGTGCTCTGGTAGTAGGTGAAATGTTTTTACTCTGACATGAAACAAAAGGAGTGCAGCTGCATGTAGAATTATTGTTATGGTATTTGAGCTCCATCCATCCTTCTATATGGATTACAGCACTACCTGATTGAATCACAGAGTCATTTTCTTGAAACCTGTTCTGACATTGCTTAGATGGTTGTCTTATGTGCTGAAGGAGATTCACTGTTAACAATGTGCACAATTCTCGCCATTACATCATTCAGTTTTTCACAGCTGAACAAAGTTGCTCTGAATTAGATTAAAGCATGCCAGTGAGTCACTCTCCATCAGCGTATGACCTGACTGTATGATGGTGAACCGAATACAGATGAGTCAAGAGAAACAGGCAGGCTTTATCTCCACTTGTGTATGCGTCTCTTGGCTGCAAGTGTGCCAAGGTCACGCTGCCGGTCCCAAAGCCTTCTGCTGCCTCCAGACTTCCACACTCTTGCCAGCAGTGACAGCAGAGCCAGTAAACATGGCGGAGAAGCGCTTTTAAGTCTGGATGGCATAAGAGCCTGTCTGTGTTTGGGTTATGTCTATCGAGACGGTCCCATGGGAACCGTGGAGCTGGACTGTGACATGAGTGAGGTCCCACAAAGCAACACTTCTGTCTACATTGTTGGACCACTCTGTACAAGGAATGAATACTCAACCTATCACAAAGCCCACACAGATGTAAGTCTCTCTTCCTGGACATGAGGAAATGTGTTCAGGTTCATGTGTCACACCATAAAATCTTAGTTGACATGACTAAAGTTTATTGTAAAGGCCTTGGGAAGAGCAGAGCTATCAGTTGCAGCATGTGACAAACAGACGTAAGCCTTGTGATGTGCTGTTTTTATGGAAACACAATGACCTTTTTCAGCAGTTACTGTGTTCAAGTCGATGCTCTTGCATGAAATTACATGCAAAGCAAAGTGTGACTTTTTTTTTTTTTTTAACCAGTACAGTAATAGTGGTGACAATACCAAGACTTGACTGAACTTCAGGAATAATTTGTGTAATGTTTGCATGTTGCTTTTCATCTTAAAATAAACCATCCCCCCCCCCCCCCCCCCCC